GAGAAATGCCAGTCAAAACCACAATAAGATACCATCTCATGCCAGACTGAATGGTGATTATTAAGAAGTCAAGAAACAACAGATGCTGTAAGGCTGTGGAGAAACAGGAACATTTTTGTACTATTGGTGGGAATGAAAATTAGCTCAACCATTGTGGAAGACAGAGTGGAGATTTCTCAAAGACCTAGAACCAGAAATGTCTTTTGACCCAGCAATCTCATTACTGGGTATATACCCAAAGGAATATAAATCATTCTATTATAAAGATACCTGCACCTGTATGTTCACTGCAGCACTATACACAATAGCAAAGACATGGAATCAACCCAAATACCCATCAGTGATAGACTGGATAAAGAAAATGTGGTACATGTACACTATGGAATACTATGCAGCCATAAAAAGGAACAAGATCATGTCCTTTGCAGGGACATGGATGGAGCTGGAAGCATTATCCTCAGCAAACTAACACAGGAACAGAAAGAAGAACAAACACTGCATGTTCTCAGTTGTAAGTGGGAGCTGAATGATGAGAACACAGATACAGGGAGAGGAACAACACACAGTGGGGCCTGTCGGGGGAAAGAGGGAGGAAGAGCATCAGGAAAAATAGCTAATGCATGCTGGGATTAACACCTAGGTGCAGCAAACCACCATGGTACACGTTTACCTATGTAATAAACCTGCACATCCTACATGTATACTCCAGAACTTAAATTATAAGAAAAAAGAAAAGATGCCTGGATGCTCAGAGAGATGGGGACATTTATAAATCAGGGATTTGATATCTCTGTCTGTGATGGTTCATTTTATGTGTCAGCTTGGCTGGGCCATGGTGCCCAGATATTCTGGATGATTCTGTGAGGGCGTTTTTGCACAAGATTAATGTCTGGAGTAAAGTAGATCACCCACCATGACATGAGTGGGCCTCATCCAAGCAGTTGAAGGTCTATATAGAACAAAAGACTGACCTTCTTCAGCAAGAAGGAATTCTGCAGCAGGCCACCTTTGGACTTGAACTGAAAAATCAGCTCTTCTCTGGGTCTCCAGCTTGCCAGCTCACCCTGAAGATTCTGGACTTGCCAGCTTCCATAACACATGAACCAATTCCTTAAATTCTTTTTCTACGTATATACATTTGAGTGGTTCTGTTTCTTTGGAGGATCCTAAGACACCCTCCAATGTCACGTCCTTGGTTCATGCCTACAGCATCTCTTGCCTGGATCTCCTTTCCCATCTTCCCTGTGGCTACCAGCATTCTCTCACCAAGCACAGATCTGAGTAGTTGTTTTGCTTGCAGTCCTTCCAGGTGCTCCATCTTCCCTGACCAATGCCTTCTAACTTAGTCATCTTTGCGCTAGCACCTTCTTGATTTTTGTTATATCAGACTTTCTCTTTGCTGGCATCAAAATGAGAGAAACAGAACTGAGAAAGAACTGAATTTCCTCTCTATATTATTCAGTATCACTCAAGATTGAATTCATATTTAACACTATCAGAAAGTATTCCATCCCACATTTTAGGGAATGTTGGGTTACAGAATAAAACCCATTCTCCTTTGCATGGCCTTGAAGGTCCTTTAGCATCAATAAGTGTAGTTATCTCTTGGTATCCATAGGGGACTGGTTTCAGGAGCCTGAAGATACTCAAATCCCTGATATAAAATGAAGCAGTATTTGCATATAACCTGTGCATATCCTCTTACATACTTTAAGTCATCTCTAGATTACTTATAATACCTAACGCCATGTCTACTCATCACTGCATTTGTGTGCATTCAGTGTTGTAGTTGGCACATGGCAAATTCAAATTTTGCTTTATGGAACTTTGAACATTTTTTTTTCCTGAATATTTTCAATCCACAGTTGGTTGAATCCACTGAACTCACAGATACAGGGATACAGAAGGCCAGCTCTATGTATTAAGTGTTGGCAATGTTCCAGGCACCAAGCAATTCATCTTTAGTCCTTTCTCCAAAACCCAAAGTGATCCCCCTGTACCACTCTCTGAGAAGTATGCCTTTTTGCTTTGTTCCTGGAGAACTCATTCTGGGGCTCTGAAATCCAGCTACCTCTTTGTAAAACTGTCTCCGAAGTGTTCCCTCAACCCCCAGTAGTTACTGTTTTCTGTAATAACATTTATTGTTGTCACACTGCAAATATTAGGTAGATGCAAAAGTAATTGCGATTTTTGTCATTGTTTTTAATAGCAAAAACCGCAATTACTTTTCCATCAACCTAGTATTTGTTTTTCTACCTGGCTGAAGCTCAAGGGAGAAGGAGCATATCTTATTCATTGTTAGGAATTTTCAAGGGGACCTCTCTATTTCCTGCCTGGTTTCTGCACACAATGAGAAATAAAAGACAGGAGAGTGGGGGATCACACTATTACTTTTTTTTTTTTTTTTTTAAATCAAGGCTGAATTAGAGAATTTAGCTTTATCATGAGTCTAAATAGCCCTGTTAAGTGAATACAGAATTAGGCTGTCTCACAGGCTATGTGAGGACCACACAGGACTAGGCAGGCTTCCCACAAAGGGTAGAAGAGTCCGTCCTTGGAGAAGTGGCTCAGTAAACTTGCTCCCTGGAAAGCAGCTCTTTTCCAGGAGAAAGAAGGGCAGGCTTGGTTCTACAGCCCAGTGTTTTCCTTCATACATTTACCAATCAGAGGCTCATAGAGAAAAATCTCCCTTCATCCAGCCATGGAGTGAGGCAGGGGTGTTTTACCTGTTGGATTAAACTCTCGGATTGCACGGATCACACAATTTCAGAAAACCAGAGGGGCAGGACCTCAGACATTAGCTATCTTGACCAGTCCTCTCATTTTACATATGAGAAGACTGAGGCCCAAAGAGAAGGGACTTGCCCAAGGTCACTTCATTCTCACCTGAGTGGTCTATAACTTTAATCTGTAATTTTCGAGGCAGATAGGTACTGTTGATTCATATGGATTAATATTGCCTGCCACCCCTTGGCAATGCTGCCAAAATTCTCAGCCCCATTCTGGAGTGCTTACTCAGCTAGAAACCTGGGATCCAGGTGCTGTAAGGTCGGCCCCTGGGATATCTTGGCACGGCGCTGTAATTGTGGATTAAGGAAACCTGGTCCTTGGCTAACTCAATTCTCTCCACATAATAAAAAGAGGGAGAAGTGAAATGTCAGGAGGAAATACACATTTAATGCATTTTTAAAGAGCCCTGTTTATTTTTGAGTCCTGGCCTTTTTTTCTGACTTAATTCTTGGCCACTGTAAATTACTTCAAAAAATGATTTTAGAATAGGGAAGGGGCAGGGAGGCTTAGAAGCTGTCTTTAACATTTTATCTCCCTTTGGTATCATTTAGGATTTTAATTCTGAAGCACGACAAGGAGGCAGAAACAGCTCTTGGCCACAGACAAGCAGAATCACTTTAAATGAAGATAAGAGTGTTGTGCTTCAGAATTTCTCCTTAAGCTACCAAAAGAAAGAAGACCTCTCCTAGCGCTGCTTAGAATAGAGGGCATTTCTAATTCCTCATTAACAGAAATAAGAATGAAAGTATTCCAAAGCAAGGATCTGCTCTTGTTCACTGCTAAAGCGACTGCATCAAGCTGGAGGTGTGGGAGGAGAGAAAAGGCTGAAATTAACATCATGCTTGGAAAATAATCAGTTAAAATGCTTTTGTAACTTCATCACTATCTACCCGGTGAAAAACGTCAGGAGCTTCTAAACCAAGAAAGGAAGAAACCGGGCGGGTTATTTACGAGTTCCTTCCCTCTTGCAGTTTTAAACCACTGCAAAATACACCCATTTGTTAAGGCTCTGGACCAACGCTGGGCGAACCAGCTTCGCTCCGCAGGGGTCTGCGCGGCTGGCCTCGCTCTCCCCCTAGCGGACCCGTGCGATAGTGCATTCTGGGCCCCAGCGCACAGAGCCGCATCCAGAAGCTGTCCGCGCGCACAGCCTCAGCGCTGCTTGCTGGCCGCCTGCACGCGTACAGCGACCAGCCAGGCTGCAGCCAGGGGATTCCAGCCGAGGCTCCAGAGTCGGAGACCTCAGCCTAGCATCACATTAGGTGCAGCTGGCCGGCCATCCCAACCCGGGCTGGGAGCGCACGCATCACTGGGGCCGTCAGTCGCGGTGCAACTTCCCGGTGGAGTCAACTAGGTTCACCTGCGGACTCGTTGCAGGTAGCTGGGTGCTGAGTAGGGGTGGACGGGATGGCTAGGGCCGGTGGAGCCATTGGGACCTGAGTGGAGGTGGGTGGGGGGTGGGTGCCTTGCGCTCCTGGTTCCTGGAGGAATGTGGGGTGTTCCAAGATTGTAAAGTGACTGCTCAGGATTGAGACCCAGAGTCCTTGACTGTCTGGGTCCAAAGCGCACGTCGAGGGTTCCTGAACGTTCGAGGCTGCCTGGCTGGGCAGGAGCCCCGCAAGAGGTGTCTATGCCAGGGTCTGGGAACAGCACTTGGGCATCCTGGGCTTTGAGGCGTGGGTTCTCCCAGGAGGGACTGCGGAACCGGGGTTCCACCGAAGCAGGTGCTGTGGAAGTTTAGGGAGTGACAGTAAAGGGGGTTAGACGGGGTGGCCCTGAGCTGGGGTTTCCCAGGCAAGGGGCTGTTTGGGGATTTCCAGAGGAAGTACTTGAATTAACGTTTACTAGGAGAGGGGCTGGTTTGGGGGTCCTGCGGAGGTGGGTGTGCTCAGGGTAGGGGCGTGGGGCAGGCAGGAAGTTTTGAGATCCCTTGGGGAGACGGTTTGGTTTTAGATTCCCAGTCCCGGAGGAAAGTGGCTAATTTTGACCCTCCCTTCTCCCCCAGTGGAAGCTGCTGAACTTCCCAAGGAACGGGCGTCTTGGGGGCTCTGGGCTTGTGGCTGGTAGTGGATTCCCACTCATTTGCAGTGGCTCAGAGGAGGTACCTCTCCACCGCGGCCGGCCGTTGTGCCCCGTGTTTCAGATGACTTGTGTTCCTGGGAACGGGGCAAGCGCTCCCTACCCGCGTCTGAAGAGAAACGCGCCGGTCTCCTCACGGCCCTCCCGGTTTGTTTCAGGGTGGACCCAGCAGATCTGTGCGTGGAGTCTCCAGGACTAGAATCCCAGGCGCCCCCACACCCTCCGACACGTGAGACCCCGCCCCTCCGCGCCACACCATAAAGGGCTTGAAGACCTGGGCGCACCGCGGCCGCCAGGGTCATGGAGGGCGCGTTCGCAGCCAACTGGAGTGCGGAGGTGGTCAACGCTAGCGCCGCGCCTCCGAGGGCCGAGGGCAACCGCACCGCTGGACCCCCACAGCGCAACGAGGCTCTGGCACGCGTGGAGGTGGCGGTGCTGTGTCTCATCCTGTTCCTGGCGCTAAGTGGGAATGCGTGTGTGCTGCTGGCGCTGCGCACCACGCGCCAAAAGCACTCGCGCCTCTTTTTCTTCATGAAGCACCTGAGCATTGCAGACCTGGTGGTGGCTGTGTTCCAGGTGCTGCCACAGCTGCTGTGGGACATCACCTTCCGCTTCTACGGGCCCGACCTGCTGTGCCGCCTGGTCAAGTATTTGCAGGTGGTGGGCATGTTCGCCTCCACCTACCTGCTGCTGCTCATGTCGCTGGACCGCTGCCTGGCCATCTGCCAGCCGTTGCGCTCGCTGCGCCGCCGCACCGACCGACTGGCTGTGCTCGCCACGTGGTTTGGCTGCCTGGTGGCCAGCGTGCCGCAGATGCACATCTTCTCGCTGCGCGAGGTGGCTGACGGCGTCTTCGACTGCTGGGCTGTCTTCATCGAGCCCTGGGGACCCAAGGCCTACATCACGTGGATCACACTAGCTGTCTACATCGTGCCGGTCATCGTGCTAGCCGCCTGCTACGGCCTTATCAGCTTCAAGATCTGGCAGAACTTGCGGCTCAAGACCGCTGCAGCAGCGGCAGCTGAGGCGCCAGAGGGTGCGGTGGTTGGCGCCGGAGGGCGCATGGCCCTGGCGCGTGTCAGCAGCGTCAAGCTCATCTCCAAGGCCAAGATCCGCACGGTCAAGATGACTTTCATCATTGTGCTGGCCTTCATAGTGTGCTGGACGCCTTTCTTCTTCGTGCAGATGTGGAGCGTCTGGGATGCGAACGCGCCCAAGGAAGGTAGCCAGGGCTGGGAGACCCAGGAGGAAGGAGCCTGGTGGCTGGGGAGGCCATGTCCTGCTGCCTCAGAACGTCCAGGGGTCTGTGGACTTCCTGGGGGATAAGCGGGTTTGAAATCCCATAGAGTCATTGCTCCATCATCCCTTGGCAAAGTGACTTAGGGCAATTAACCTACCCCAGCTTTTACTTTCTCTTGGGTAAGGTGGCAGTAAGGATAAAAGTACCAACTGTCACCAGGCAGTAGGGGAATGCCATGAGAAAACGCAGTTAAAGTCGCTAGCACAGCTGTTGGGCTGCATGTGGGCTGTATGGTTTATTACCGTTGGGCTGCATGTGGGCTGTATGGTTTATTACCGCAGTGGAGGAAACAGGTTCAACTCCATCTGCTTTCCCACATGCTTAGGAGGAGGTGGCAGAGGTAAGTTTTGAACCCGTGGCCAAGCTCAACCTCCTTCAACTTTAAGTGCATGTTAAGCTGAACTTCCACTTTAAGTTCAAGAAGTCCACCTGAAGCCAGGAAGTCTGGTTTGGACAAGGACGGCCTTGCAGGGGTGGGCTATTTGTCCAACCAAGCACCTAGCAGTTGAAGAGGGTGTTGTGGGAGAAGAGGATTCCAAGAGGAAGGTGAAGACAGATCCCTGAACCCTTCATGGAGTGGAGGTGATGAGTCTCTAGGCAGAGTACTGCAAGGAGCGCTGGGTAGGCTTAGGGAGGAGAGCACCCAGGACTGAGACGTCACTTCCACTTGGGGGAAAGAGAAGGGAGCTGGGAGGTGGACATTCAGGTTTGAGGGAGAGGCTCGGTGATTTCTGTAGGTGGGGAATATGCCTTCCAGGATGGAGGACTGCTGAGAACAAGGCTGAGGGTGGAGCTGTTGTCCATTCTTGGCCTGTGCCAGAAGGCTAGGAGGAGGGCATAGAAGAAGGCAACCTAGGGAGAATGCTTGGAGGAACAAAGGCACCCTGGGGCTCTGGTGTTTATGGCTGGTGCTGGATGACTGTCCCTAAGGCATAGAGCACCAGGCAGCTTCCCGTCGCCCCCTGCCTGCCAACCCCATTCCAGTAGCTCATTTGGAAAGAGCAGGAGGGGTGATTGCTGGTGGTGAATGACTTACACGTTTTTGTTTGAAGGTAATTCCATAACACATGCTGGATGCTGGGGACTTCAAATGTTTGTAAAGAAAGACCAAGGGATTTGCTTTCACCCTTTCTGCACTCCAGACACTGCAAATGTCCCATTTCTGTGTGCAGTCACCACTGCTCCCAATAGTCTCAAATGCATGCATCCTGGGAAGCTGAAATCTCAGTGCCAGCTGCTTTTATTCAGTTTGGTAACTTTGCTTTGATCCTTTCTGGAATTCACAGACAGGCTTTATGGAGCCCTCCTAGTTAGCTCAGTGTTTGCTTTAGTGGCCAACACACTGGTTAGTCAATATTTACTGAACGCTCATGGCCCCTGGTCATACCTTACAGAGAGGGTTCTAGGGCCCAAAGAGGGGAAGGCACTTGCACCAGGTCACACAGCAAGTCAGAGGCAAAGCTGGTGTTTTCTGTGCCAGGGTTCTAATGAAGGGCACATGGTGAGGGAGTTGGGTTGGGCAAAAACCAGGGTTGGAAGTCTCTAAGTAAGGCCGTAGGGCCACACCTGTTTCCTGGGCAGATCCGAAAAAACCAGATCCAGTTCTTGAGGAGCTCAAACACTATCAAGGAAGTGAAACCAGCACCAGTTGGAGTAGGTACTGGGGAGATGTGGGGGTCTAGCCCCCCTCCAGCCCTTACTAGCTTTGGAACGTTGGGTGAGAGATCCCTTTATTCCTCTTGAGCCTTAGTGTCTTGCTTTTAGAATGAGGACACTTCAGCATTCAGTTCATTCATTCAACAGACACTTTGCTCCTCTCTCCTTGGGGTCCCCTCGTCTCTCCCATTCATGTCTTGAGTCTCTGGTGATTTTTCTCCTTTCTGCTCCTCCCAGACCCCACCTCCTATGGCTCCCCACTATTCAGCACCCCCAATCTGCACTCCTCTTTCTCACTGTATGTCCGCCCAGAAGAACGAGAGTATGTGGTCAGCGCACACGTCACATGAACCATGAAGTGAAGTTTAGATCTTTTCTACACTTTAAAAGCATGTCAACATTTGATTTCTTTGTCTTAGAAACGAGAGAGAGAGAGAGAGAGAGAGAGAGAGAGAGAGAGAGAGAGAGAGGGAGGAGAGAGAAACAGACGCACACAGATCCTGGCCAGAGTGAAGGTCACAGGCCTCTTGACTGTTTGTGGTCCTCCAAGGCTTTTCAGGGGATGAGACCTTCAGTAGAGACAGACCCAAGGGGCTCAAGCCCAAGGGGCAGGGAAAGAAGGGGGCTTTAAGAATTTCAGGTCCCACTTCCCTTTGCTTCCTTAGGAATTCACAGGGAAGGGTGGGTGTTCCATGAAAAACCTAGGGCTTCTCTTGGTTCCCCTCTGCATTTTGTCCCAGATGCTGAGAAGAATCCAAACACAGCCTGGCAGGGATTCATGATGCTGCCACAGCCGGAACCTCCCCACTGTCTTACGCACACAGCCAGGAGCAGCAGCTCAGTCCAGATGTGAGCGCCTCATCAAACACAGAGGTGACAACTTGGACTCTGGCCACCACCAGCCTGGCCAAATCATGCCCAGGCCTCAGGGCTGCAGGGGTCAGAGTGGCTGCAAGCTCAGAACGACAGCCCTGTGCCCACTTGGCCTTAATTTGGGTAATTGCAATAGCAGGCAGAAATGGTGTCTGCATCACTTTGGAGATACCTCTCAATCCAGAGGCCACCAGCAAGTGTTAAGGAAGGAATAAAAGAGAACCACACTAGAGCTACCTCAAGAGGTTGTTATCGGAAAAGTGGAATTAATGCACAGCCCCACTTTCCTCTCCAAGAGAACAGAATTTAGATGCGGAAATATCTAGTACAGGGCCCCTTACCTCACTCATCACCTGAGTAACCAGTACTGGAGCCTGTGGCCAACAGTGTGATGCCATCCAGGGATGCTTGCAGGAGGAGCAGGCTCACAGGGAGGCAGGAGAGGTGGGGCACACGTGGGTCTGTTCCTGCTTCATCAGGAAAACCTCTGGGAGGTCAGAAAGCTTAGTCAACAACCACCCATCAAGGCTACCAGAGTGGGTGGGATGTCACGGTTCTGGTGGCTACAGATGTGGTGGCCCAGGGACCCAAAGTCCCTCTCTCCTTCAGCGTTTGCTCCCTCTTTTCCATCTCTCCCTTGAGCAACTTAATTCCCTCATTCACAAATACCAAGGGCTGCCTTTATGGGTTTAGTGCTCACCTTGTTCCAGTAATGTGCAGTGGGGCACAAAAATTTAGGAACTCAACAAGATAAAATACATATGAACAAACTCGGATAAAGCAGAGAGTGGGGAGAAGAAAAGGAAAATAAAGATATAATGATAATAATAATACTATTAATAATAATAAAGTCTCTGTGTGTATGGACAAGCTCTACACATGGTTACTTTTTATAAGAACCAAAGAGGAAAACTTTCAGTTTAAATATTTCTGTTATTCAGAAGAGAGAGCCAATGGGAGCGTCTGAATGATTTCATGAGATCTGTTCTTCAAAGCAGCCAGATGCTGCTGGGTGCTGACTTGGTGCGGCTGGTGAGACTGATGCCCCATGCAGGATTTGATAAGCCCTTTTTATATCTTTCAGAATTAAATTCCAAAGCCAAAGGTTTGGCATCAGCCTTTTCCCTTGAACCCAGTGGCATTTGCTTTGCTGCTGGTTTCAGGGGTTTTGACCCTAGGGCAGTTCTGAGGGAGTAGATGAGGATGAGGAGGGCACTTGGTAGAGTAGGGGCTTTTGCATTTCTAGGGTTGGTTGATGTTGGTTGGGTATGGTGGACAGGATTTAGGGTCTCTGTCTCTCGTCTTCTCTTTCCAGCATCTCCCTGGTAAAATGCCCAGTCCGGTGTCCATAAGCCAGTTGTTTTACCCCCTTGGAGCCTCAGCCTCCTCCTCCTTGTAATAAGGATAGCATGGGCCACCTCGTGGGGTTGTTGTCAGGATTAAATGGTGTGACCCATGGCCCCTTCCTGATGGACAAGGTGGGGATTCTTCTCTTGAGCCTGGGTGGAGGGAATGGGAGTGGACAGCAGGCAGTGTGTCCAGGGAGGCTGGGAGGTGGGAGCTTCTGCTTGTTGAGGCCAGAGAGGTGGACTTTGAGTCCTGTCACGGTAGGGACGCTGCCTGTCCTGTTCCCTTGTGTGTGCCCAGTGCCTGGCACAGGCTGCACAGTCATTGTCAAATACCAGTGCTTGTCAAATACATGGAAAAAGGAAGCAAGGAGGTGAGATGGGGCAGGGATGGGTATGAAGAGCAGGACTCAGGAGGAATAGGGACTTTCTAAGTAGCCCTCTGAAACAGTACTGGCAACCTGGGAAAGAAGGGGACGCCCCATCACTGGGGGCAAGCAAACTCTGTCAGGAGTGTGGGACTGGTACAGGAAGTCTGGTTTGAACTGTTTCCCATCTGTAGAATGAGCTTCCAGCCCCTCCCTGTTTCCATGAGACAGAGGACCCTCTGGCATGTCCCGCCTACCTTTCCTTCCCGTGAGTGCTGTGCCTGAGGTGTGGTGGACCAGGCCCCTTGGAGGGGCTTGTTCTTGAGGTGACCCAGTCAGGTGGAGAGCATGGGGGGCCGGGCAGGAGGAGTTTGGACAGGATATTCACTCTGGGCCATGAAGAGTGCGCAAGCTCGGTCCTTCTGGGTATAAATCTCAATTAGGTGGACAGTTAACTTCAGACTCTTATACGGTTAAGTAATTGTGTGTTCTTTTATGTTCTTGGCTAATGTTAATGTGTTCCCTTTGGGTTTCTGCCCTGAGGTGATTTCACTTCTTTTACCCTTAAAGGTTTGATAAATAACAACTAAGAAGACAAAAAAGTAAAACCAAAAAACTCAAAGAAAAGCAAATCCCAAACCCGCCTCTTGGGTGAGGCACTACTACGTCTTTTTTCCAT